GAACGGGGGGCGGCTAAGATCTTGGCCCGCCCCGGCTGGCACTAACCATAGTTACGCCACTGCTTTCACTGGGTGAGAAAAAAAATTAAGGAAAAAAGAAAGAAAAAGATAACTACATAATCTAATTTGTTTTAATCTGGCCTGCTCAAAACTTTCGCCATTTTAATTTGCTCTTGGCTTCGCCATTTTCACGACATTTATTTGGAAACAGGTAGACGACACTTGAGCCTCTAAATGGCTAACAAAAATACTGTAATAATATATTTAATATTTAGCGAATCTAGATCATGTATTTTTTGTTGTTGATCATATGAATTTACGGAGTCTAGAGACCTTCTGGCTCAAAGTTCTTGAAACCAGACACTCAAATAAGGGTTTTAATTTTTAAGAATTATAAAAAAAGAAGAAGAAGAAGAAAAACAAAAAAACAACTCGCCTGGGGTTATCAAGAGTTTATTGGAGGAAAGTGAAAACAATCTGATGGATGGCCAAACTATTGAACTGAAGTTTTGAGCCAAGGTCTTTTGGTACAAATCTAAAGAGAAGATGAATCTGAAGTGGAATGTCTACAGACAGACACATACAGATTAAAAGAATGATATGCTGAAGTAAACCACATATTTTATTAGAGTGACAAGTCCAATCATCCCCCCCCCCCTAACAGTGGCGGAACCACTGAAAATGACAGGTTTTTTTATTTTTTTTTTTGGGGGGGATGGGGGGTTGTTGTTTGTTGGGGGTGGCGTGGTTGGTGAGAGGCACCAAGGCTCTTGCCTTTCTGTGCAAAAAAAACAGCTCTATAAATAACAACTTTTTTGTGTTGTAAATGGCTTTTTACTTTTTTATTTATTTTTTTTGTTGTGTATAAATCTATAGTCTAATTTTATGTCGCTTATATAATTTGGGTCCACGTCATTTAAAAAAAATAAATTCTGGATCCGCCACTGTGCCGCAGGAAAGTTCAACCTTAAATACCCGAATCTAGAATTAACTGGAACTATTGACAAGATATGGTGCAGCCCCCCAACCACTAGGGTTAGTCAAGGCTACCAATTAGGGGTAGGGGAGAGCGATGCCTTAACTTCCTCTTGAAACGTCACATTGGTTCACACCCCACATCTTGAACAAGTTCCTCCGCCTCTGTACGCACGTGATCATGAGATGCTTCCTGCTGTGTTGGTTCAAGTTGTCGCTGAAAAATATTTTAAAGTGGGCCGTTAAGTCATTTGAAAAAAAAGTCAACAACAACTACAACAACAACAGCTAAAACAACAGCTACAACAACAACTACAACAACAACTACAACAACAACTACAACAACAACTACAACAACAACTACAACAACAACTACAACAACAACTACAACAACAACTACAACAACAACAACAACTACAACAACAACTACAACAACAACTACAACAACAACTACAACAACAACTACAACAACAACTACAACAACAACTACAACAACAACAACAGCTACAACAACAACAGCTACAACAACAACAGCTACAACAACAACAGCTACAACAACAACTACAACAACAACTACAAAACAAACCGTGACATTATCTTATAAAACAGAGACTCAGGGCTAGACTCCGGAATAATGGAGGCCCACAAGGCTTTGTTCAGGAGCCTGTCCCCCCAAAAAAAATATTTCACGAATTAAAATCACTGGAAACAAGAGATCACAACATAATGATTATCATAATGATTCACAAAACGAAAGATCGGATTAAATCCATTAGAACGTTTGAGCTTTTAGATCAGATTATAAGAAACTCGTCTTATTATTACATTATCTTATTATTTGCATTACGACATCATATTATTAAAATTTTGCAAATATTGAATCCTAATAAATAGTCGCTGATAATATATGTGAAAGTCACATATATTGTTAGCTAGAAAGTCACATATACTTTTAGCTAGAAAGTCACATATAGTTTTAGCTAGAAAATCACATATAGTTTTTGCTAGATGAGATATGGTGCCCATGCCATTACCAGTGCCAGTGTGAACACAACCCATCATTTTGGTGCCCGACCGCCAAGGCAACATTTGGATATAATTTGTTTCGCCCCTTTTCTGCATGTCACTTTGTGAGCTAAACGGTGCTTTACAGCGATTATGTGCTCTTCTCTTTGACATGTTAACTGTGCATGTAGACATTTTCGGGCTTACCGGAAATTTGTTTGAAAGAAATTTAGTCGACGGAAATTCGATCGAACGGAAGTTTGGTCAAATCTTTTTTTCATTCCACACGATAACATTTTGCGTCAAATTTCTTTTTGAACGCATTATTTTGTTTTACTATATAGTATAGTAAAAAAAAAAACCCTGGCTCACCAGCAGGGATGTACGGAGCCACAGCCTCCGGGTCCCCAATGACCCCGATCATCAGCTTCCCGTCGCCGAGCCCGAACTTGTCCACGCCCGTCATCTCCGTGAGGTACATGAGCTTCTCGTCCGTGCGCCTCGTCGCCGCCTGGTCTCGCACCTTCCTCTTCCAGATCATGTAGGTCAGGATGTGGGCCAGCAGCAGGATGCCCACCACGAAGCACAGGAACATGACGATGACGTGGATGTTGATCAGGACCGTGGAGCCCGAGATCTGCTGAGGGGGAGAGAAGGAGAGACAAAGAACTATCGAGGTCAACCCAAGTGACCCCCCCCCACACACACACAAACATTCAGCTTGTAATGGTTGAGGGGGGGGGGGTGTCAATCAAGATATATGTTACTGGGGATCATTATTTCTTAATAAATGCTTGTAGTAACTTGTAGACCTACTATAGACGTAAGGCTTATCCCCCCCCCCCTTTTTTTTAAATGGTTGAGGGGGGGGGTGTCAATCAAGATATATGTTACTGGGGATCATTATTTCTTAATAAATGCTTGTAGTAACTTGTAGACCTACTATAGACGTAAGGCTTATCCCCCCCCCCTTTTTTTTTACATTCGCTACGTCTTAGAAATTATTGTTCACTGAGTCAAAATGGACCCAGACACGCAGCGCCGCCATTCGCACCCGGGTACCATTAGACGCAAGTTATTCGGATGTCATTTGTGATAGTTTATTTTAGTTAAACTGAAGAAGTAAGCTTAAAAAGATATGCTCCATTCAATTATCTTTCATTTGATACCTCATTTTGTCTTACAAAGCCAACAATAATATTTTATAAAGTTTTTTATCCCAACCTCTCACTTCTGGTACCCGGGTACGAATAGCCACCCTTAAAAAAAATTAAAAAGTACTAGCTTTTGTTTTGTTTTAAGAAAGTGACAAAATAATTTTAAAACAAGTTGTCTAAAATTGGCGTTCATGCTTTTAATATTAAAAAAAAATAAATAATTAAAAGCCTATTTTAAAAAGATAATAAATTAAAAACTATTTTAAATGCACTGAATATTAGAATTTAAAAAAAAAATCCATTGCGAAAAGGTCAGTGAAGGAAGGGAACTCACTCTAACATAACAATGAGTCGTCAGCTGGGCAACGGTGCTCACAACGCCCAGGTAAATTAAATATTCAGAGTCCTTGTCGAGTTGCTTGTTCATTAAATTCTGTGAGAAACAGGATAACGCATATCAGATATCATTTAGTCTGTTTGAAGAGGAATGCAGCATTAACGAGCAAGAAAATTTGAAAAACGCAAAAAAAACGTTTGTTTATTAAACATTTTTAATGAGGGAATGCCAATTACTTTTGCACTTTTTTTTAATGAATATTTTTTTAAAATAAGAATGAGCTAAGGCTAAGGTGACCTATCTAACACTAAAAAAAAACAAAACAAAAAAAAAACCGAATCCTTTTAAATATGCTCTGATGCCTAAAAATAATGATAGGGGTGTTCTTTTTTCTTCTTCTTTTGAAATGAAAATCAAAACATTAAAAAAAATTAAAAATGATACAAATAAAACATATTATCTGCTTTATTTTTTAGTTTAATTATTTGTTTAAGTCTTAAGTATTATTATTTTAAATTAGAAATGCATTAAACATAACTATTACTATTTTTTTTTATTAATTCATAATTACATTTATTGAGAAAACCCTAAATTAGTGGGGGGGGGGGGGGGTTTTTTTGCCTTCTTAATATTGTGAAATTAAATTTAAACTTCTGTTATCCAAATGTCTTCAAACAATAATATCAAATAAAATTTTAATTTGAAATCGAGGAAAGAACAATTATCAATTAGAATAATCTTAGTATGGGGGCTTAATTTAAACTCACGAATCACAAGCTTAAAATTTGTTTTAAGTTGATGACCACTTGTGACAATAATGACCACTTGTGACAATAATGACCGCTTGTGACAAAATCAATAAAAATATTTTTCACCCTTTTTTAAAAATAAATGTAATTGCTTTTTAAATTGTTAATTCAGCACTCTTAATTTTAGCTTTGTATTTTAAAATTTAATTAACAAGTATTACCATTCTAAAATGTGCTTTCATCAATTTTATAAAGTAATAAAAACTTAATGTTTACAATTATTTTCCATAAGAATGTGCAGTTTAAGCCATTAAGCACAATGAGAATTCATGGCCAAATACCACACACTAATTCACTTATCACTCATCCAAATAAGAACAAACCATATGAAGTTTCAGTTAGTTAATTTTGATTTAAATACCTTAAAACCCAATTACAGATTTGAAATTTGGCATGGATTTTAATGTTAATATAAATAAGCATAACCTTTCCAAAATGACATTATTTGTAGCCCAATTTTTTTTTTAAAGGAAATTTAAAACAATGCCAGTTAAAAGGGTGTTAGGGCTTTAGAATTTTAACAAAGGCCAGGGGCATGCAATAATGTGTGGTTGTGTACAATGAGGGGGTGGGGGGCTATTCATTCCATGGATTGCTCAAATAATGTTTATTAAAACTGTCCAATTCCCACCCTTACCTGAACCTCATCTCAAATATCAACTTTTCCCAATCTGCCCACCTATACCCGATCTCCAATGATAACAACTTAAATATTACCTCCTCCAGACCAATGACAAACTTCTGCTGCTCGTTTTTGGTGAGAAACCCTGCAGAGACCCCAGGGGTGCTGAACACATATGCATTAGGATTAGGATTAGTATTATTGTTGAGCTCATTGTCTTGGAAGCCATCTTGTTCTGGGGGGGAAATACTGGTTAGTATTAAACTTTGCACAACATGCATACTGATAAGTATCTTTGCACAACATGAATACTGATAAGTATCTTTGCACAACATGCATACTGATAAGTATTTTAACTTTGCACAATATGCATACTGATAAGTATTTTAACTTTGCACAACATGCATATCTTATTTGTGCACAATATGCACACTGATGACTATATTGACTTTGCACATCATGCATACTGATCAGTATCTTAACTTTGCACAGCACATGTACTGATTAGTAGCTTAACTTCACACAACCACGTACTAATTATTTTTCTGACATTGCACAACATGCAAAGCTGTTTACTGACTTCGCTAAATAATTTAGAACTCCTGACTTCTATCAAATGGAGTTTTAATCATACCATTTGTAAATAAAAATCAGTGGTCCTGGACACTGTCAGCAAGTAAATATATATATATATATATATATATATATAAACGTTTACGTATATAGTGTATTCCGATAGCATTTAAGTATTTTGACTTTTTTCTTTGCATGGTATATAACTGGGAATAGAAATGAATTTGAGATTAAATATAGTTTCCTCCCCTGATTGATCTTTTTTTTTTTTCTTAAAAAAAAAATATAAAAAAAAAGAAAAGTTCTTGCCGTGGGCGCTATGTTTACCGGCCATTGTGTGTTTGTTAGAAAGTGGGAAGGGCCTGGGTGTTGTTGTTGATCTATTGAACAAGGTAGGACATAATGCAGATGCATTTCTTGGTTTGGGTTCAATGTTGAGGCTGCGTTCATTAAATCCATCAGACAAGAGTTCTTCCCTCCCACCGATGGAGCAAAAGTGACAACTGCAACTAATATTGGCAAACATGGCATAGCTACGTTTGACTTGTTGTTTGTTCCTTTCACAAGCTCTCTCATATCGTCTGCTACCTATAGTCTGCTACCTATAGTCTGCTACATATCGTCTGTAACATATCGTCTGCTACCTATCGTCTGCTACCTATCGTCTGGTACATATCGTCTGGTACATATCGTCTGCTTCATATCGTCTGCTACATATCGTCAGTTACCTATCGTCTGCTAAATATATCCTTGGTTAGATTCAAGCCGTGACTCCCTTCACAGCCCAGTTGTCGTCTGGATGTACATCTTAAAACAATGCTCTGGTTCCTGGGCCACTCACCTGATCTTGGGGGCTTCTCACCTGAACCTGACCTATTGGGCCACTCACCTGAACCTGATCTATTGGGCCACTCACCTGCAGAGCCTGATCTATCAACTCTCAACACGCGAATGTCAAAGCCAGAGAATGGTCCTCTATTCAAGTCGATGCTCGTAGGAAAGATGTTGATCGTAATTGTCTTATCAGACACAGATTCGATCCTGCAGGAAAGATGTTGATTGTAATTGTCTTATCAGACACAGATTCGATCCTGCAGGAAAGATGTTGATTGTAATTGTCTTATCAGACACAGATTCGATCCTGCAGGAAAGATGTTGATCGTAATTGTCTTATCAGACACAGATTTGAGCTACGACTAAGAATGTATTTTATGTCTCTTAATCTGTAAAGCTTCAAAGTGCGCATTTCCTGCGAAGTCTTTCGTTGTGTCCCGTACTCTCGGTACAGTCTTTCGTTGTGTCCCGTACTCTCGGTACAGTCTTTCGTTGTGTCCCGTACTCTCGGTACAGTCTTTCGTTGTGTCCCGTACTCTCGGTACAGTCTTTCGTTGTGTCCCGTACTCTCGGTACAGTCTTTCGTTGTGTCCCTTACTATCGGTACAGTCTTTCGTTGTGTCCCGTACTATCGGTACAGTCTTTCGTTGTGTCCCGTACTATCGGTACCGTCTTTTGTTGTGTCCCGTACTATCGGTACAGTCTTTCGTTGTGTCCCGTACTATCGGTACAGTCTTTCGTTGTGTCCCATACTATCTGTACCATAGCGTTGACCTCACCTGTTATTGCACAATGACAATAGACCTGAGGGAGTAGTAGACCCAAAACGTGCCCACACTCCCACCTATTCGTATTCACATAATCCATCATAGTCATGTTGACTCTTTCTCCCGAATGATGGCTTCGCTTCCTCTCTTCAAACCACATGCACGTATTTTTATCAGTAAAGGACATAAGTAGACAATCTATGCCATCTTACACCAAAATGATTGCCCCCTCTCTTCAAACCAGATACACTTATTCTTATGATAAAAGGACAATTATTTTAATAGCTTAATTTATTATGAAAGAAACACGTGCCGCCCCCCCCCCCACACACCAATACTTCCCATAAGTAGCCCCCTCTCTTCAAACCAGATACACTTATTCTTATGATAAAAGGACAATTATTTTAATAGCTTAATTTATTATGAAAGAAACACGTGCCGCCACCCCCCCCCCCACACCAATACTTCCCATAAGTTATCATTTGTTCTTCATTTTTCACGCCCCTTAACAAAATAAGCAAACCACTAACTTAAGTAATAAGGCTATGGCCTTCTGGTCAGATATTGACTATTTTGCCCCTTCCGATCAGAGACTGTAGAGCCCTAATCCATGATAAACGGGACATTTTTTTTAACACAAGGAACACCGTTAACTACCGTAAGTGAAAACCAGACTTTGACATGGCAAACATACCAGCTGGCACGCCCTGCATTAAAACGTGCCCAACTGGCCCCACCCTTCGTTACGCCACTGACTACATAATTAACCTTACTCTGGGGCAGTAGGGCAGGCCGGTGTCGCATGCTCAGTCCACATGTACCTCGAGATGTGCCGCTTGGACGCCCAGCCTGGGTCGGTCAGCTCGACCAGGTGGCTCTGCATCTCATCAAGGCTGCACACTGTGATGTCGCTGACCGTGGCGTTGGGAGTCAGGGTGGTCACCTTTTGAGTCCGGTTGTTGGTGACCGTCAACTTTTTGAAAAAACATTACAATCAAGTAACACCAACATCATTACATTCAAATATCAACAATACCATTACATTCAAATATCAACAATATCATTACATTCAAATATCAACAATATCATAACATTCAAATATCAACAATATCATTACATTCAAATATCAGCTTCATTACATTCAAATATCAACAATATCATTACATTCAAATATCAACAATATCATTACATTCAAATATCAACAATATCATTACATTCAAATATCAACTTCATTACATTAACGTAGCAACAACATATTTACATTTACACCATCTTGTCTTGTAGATCTTTATTTTACATATCAAAATATGAAACTTTTATTGGTACTGGCATACATGTTGTATGCTGTTACCTCTATTGGTATGTGTGTTGTATGTGGTTACCTTGAGTGGTATGAGTGTTGTAAGTTACTACACGTATTTGTATGCATGTTGTATGTTGCTACATGTATTAGTATGCATGTTGTATGTTGCTACATGTATTAGTATGCGTGTTGTATGTTGTTACATGTATTAGTATGCATGTTGTATGTTGCTACATGTATTAGTATGCGTGTTGTATGTTGCTACATGTATTACTATGCGTGTTGTATGTTGCTACCTTTGTTGGTATGCGTGTTGTATGTTACTACCTGTGTTGGTATGCGTGTTGTATGTTGCTACCTTTGTTGGTATGCGTGTTGTATGTTGCTACCTGTGTTGGTATGCGTGTTGTATGTTGCTACCTTTGTTGGTATGCGTGTTGTATGTTGCTACCTGTGTTGTTATGCGTGTTGTATGTTGCTACCTGAAGGGTCCGAGTGTAGAATATAAAGCCGCACCACCTCAGCCTGATACAGTGGCGCGATTGGCCCACTTGTTCCAAAACGCCCGAGCCACTGCTGTACTCTATCGGCCCGTGATACACCTGGGTAGTGACATTCCGACTGACATGAGTGCTGCCAGTGACGCCAGGTGAAGCAGCGTACACTGCTGTACCGTTTCCTAGGGGTTTCATGGGAGGAATTGAGCAAAGTTGAAATCGTGGTTACTGATACGTCATACCGTTTTGGTCTTCACAAAGGACAGCATTAATTAGAATGCTATAGTCGATGTTTGAGAAATATGTTTGTGTCATGTTAGATGTTGAAAATGGTATAGTCCATATTTGGGAAATATGTTTATGTCATGTTAGATGTTGAAAATGCCATAGTCCATATTTGGGAAATATGTTTGTATCATGTTAGATGTTGAAAATACCATAGTCCATATTTGGGAAATATGTTTGTGTCATGTTAGATGTTGAAAATGCCATAGTCCAAATTTGGGAAATATGTTTGTGTCATGTTAGATGTTGAAAATGCCATAGTCCATATTTGGGAAGTATGTTTGTGTCATGTTAGATGTTGAAAATGCCATAGTCCATATTTGGGAAGTATGTTTGTGTCATGTTAGATGTTGAAAATGCCATGGTCCATATTTGGGAAATATGTTTGTGTCATGTTAGATGTTGAAAATGCAATAGTCCATATTTAGGAAATATGTTTGTGTCATGTTAGATATTGAAAATGGTATAGTCCATGTTTGGGAAATATATTTGTGTCATGTTAGATATTGAGAATGTTAGAAAAGGATTAATTTTGTTTATTTTCATTCGTAGATTTATTTTTAAGGCGCATCACTTTTTTTTGTCAGCAGTCTTTTCCTTTCATCATAAACCAGTCGTGACAATGACAATTTTGGTCAGCACTTCATTCTGATTACCATCATCCCATGTCAATAAACTCCATCTGTTTGTTATGAAAATGTGAATTCTTTGCCCTACTCTGACATTAATGAAATGTGTCGTATTTTGTTTGATCTGTTTTGAATAAGAATCTGTTTCGTCTCACCTTGACAAGTTACACGACTGAAATGTAGGCTGGCCACCAGAATGGCTGCTAAGTGGTAGAACCATTCTGCTTTGGACATAGCGCCCACTTCGACACCTAGTTTTAGTCGACCTCAAAGTTAACGCAAATAAACCCTGCGAAGGGGACTAAGAGAGAGAGTACCAGTTCCATTTTTATAGTTGTTGGGTAGTTTCTTACTCGCTAAAACAGACAGCAAAAGTCGATGACGCAATAAGTAGCCAGGAAAACGTGTACTCGTTTAACTATATCGCCCAGTAGATTTTCTCCGTAACACTGGTAAATTAAATACGGGAACCCCTAAATACATTTTTTCATATTTCATTGTATATGAATGTTCTAATTCTAATGCTCCACAAACTTTTATACCGCAGAGTTATTTCAACAACTACTTCAGAAAAAACAAAAGAACATATTACGCACCAAACCAATGTTCCCTCTAAGATTTGTTGGTTCGTAAGCAAAATCATACAGACGTGTGCAAAGTTTTACAGCTCAATTTTTTTGTGCGCAAAATTTTACTGCCCACTCACTTGCATGGAAATTTGCTGCGCGGTACTCAAAACTGCTGCGCGGCGTCTGTGAGATAGCTGCGCGGCCGCCCAGCCGCGCAGCTTAAAGGGAACATTGCACCAAACGCTCACTCATTAACACACTTGTAATTCCCTAAACAATTTACACAGGGAACATATGGGGACCTCCACCAACAATTTTAAAACAAATCCACTTACACATCAGGAATGACATATTTAGATAGATAGATATATGACATATTTCATGAACAATCCAACAATTTAAAACTACACCATTAATCCAACCTCAATAAGGTGGAAGGGGGGGGGGATCCATTGACAAGACACACGAACACAACTACAGACACTTAGAACCAAATCTATAGCGATGAGACAAAAGGATGAAACTCTAAGGACCCATTATTCCATAGGGATAAGATTACGACGGTAAAACCAAAGGTGACAACAGCACACCACATTTCGTGATTGTATGATTTGTTTTAGTTAGTGTGCATTTAGTCTGTAAGATTGTGGGGCGTGTCAGATATAAAATAATGTTGCTCTGTCTCATCAGCCCCTGTCTTGAAGAGTTGACATTCTATGCGCCTCACTCTGTCCTTAACTTGTAGGGTCTTGATGAGACTGCATGCTGTCATGTTGTCTATGAGCCTTTATGTTATTTCTTTGTCTTGACTTTGTATTTCTTTAATGTGTGTATTTTTAAATGTCTCCTGGGTGTTTCTTGCTCCATACATGTGTGTCCATTTGATCCTATTGTTGAGTGGTGTTGCTTGTCACTGTATTAAACGTGTGGACAGTTCTTTGGTTGTTCTGCTTCTGGTAGGGTATGTTGCTGCATCCATGTACTGGCACCCGTGCAACGGTTGGGGAAACGATGCGGCTATCCCAACGCCACCTAGCGGGTGCCAGGGCCAGGGCAACCTTGGAGCTCTCGATTGATGTCGGGTCTACGGCGGCATTGTCTAGGTGGTTCCAAGCGATTATTGTGCGTGGGAAGAAGGATCGTTTATATCGGACTGTGTTACACCGAGGCACAGTGAAGCATTTACTATTGTGCCGGGTGTAACTGTTCATGGAGTTGTCAGAGGTGAAGTCAGTGGTTACTGATTATGGGTGGACGTGTCATTGTCTTTAAGGCTAAGACTTTGATGCATGCTGTGGTGGACGTGTCATTGTCTTTAAGGCTAAGACTTTGATGCATGCTGTGGTGAACGTGTCACTGTCTTTAAGGCTAAGACTTTGATGCATGCTGTGGTGAACGTGTCCTTGTCTTTAAGGCTAAGACTTTGATGCATGCTGTGGTGAACGTGTCATTGTCTTTAAGGCTAAGACTTTGATGCATGCTGTGGTGAACGTGTCATTGTCTTTAAGGCTAAGACTTTGATGCATGCTGTGGTGAACGTGTCATTGCCTTTAAAGGCTAAGACTTTGATGCATGCTGTGGTGAACGTGTCATTGTCTTTAAAGCTAAGACTTTGATGCATGCTGTGGTGAACGTGTCACTGTCTTTAAGGCTAAGACTTCGATGCATGCTGTGTAAAATTGAGATTGTTTTCTCCGTATGCAATGTGGTGTGCTGTATTCAATTTTGGTTTATTTTCATAATCTAATTCCTATGTAACAATGTGAAATAAAAAAAAAATAATATTTTCTACGATCTCTCTTATGGCTTTTCCTATAAATTTAATTCTAAGTGCATGCATTTTTGTTTGTTTGTCTTGTAAATGAACCATTTATTGAATAAGAATATAATCGTTATCTGGAAGAAATGCTTGTGTTAGAGTGTGATCTAGTGCGCGCCTGATTAAAACCAAAATTTGGCATGGGTGCCGAAATTATTATTATTTTTTTCTAGGAGCCATTGGCGTAACCGAACCAAATGAACTAAATACGTCACGAACATGGAACATCAACTTGGACAATTTTTGTGCCAATTCTTCCCCTGCCACCCCCACCCTTTTCGATCTCAAAATTGTAACACAAATGAGATGCTTGTAAGCACACTTCATAACACATTTGATGGACCCCTCCCCCCCCCCCGGTCCCATGTGCGCGCACGCACACACACACACATTTTCCCTCAGCGGGTGACGTTGTTTTTGATGGCTACAAATGTGAATGGTGTACTAAATCTGTCTTCGTGCCACTTGTGTGATGTCTCGCGTGTCCACTGGAGTATGCACAGACCAACAGCATAAAGACAATTTCAAAACATTGCATGAAGATTTCTTACAGCATGAGAGATTTAAATACCCGGTATGCCATTTATAGATTGTCAGAATTTCAGGAGACTTATTTCAGAATATTTATTTTTGTGTGAATATTTTCTACCGAGTACCCCCCCCCCTTTTCCCCCCGCCTTTTTTCTTCTTTTTCCCTGAAATACACCCACGTACGCAAAATCGCCAAACTTCCCCCTATCGGTGCGTACGTACTCTATGCATATCCCCTATAATATATCAATGAACTTCTAGAAACCACCAGCGTAGAAGAACACAATGAACTAAATACGGTGGCACGCGTGTAGAGCATCAATCAAACGTCCAACCCATCAATGATGATGACACGCTATTTTTCAGATTGCTTTTAAAATCAATGTTGAGTAATTTTGTTAAAGATGCATAGCTTAAGATTGTAATGGGAAATAGCTGTTAGTGAATTGTTTTTAAAAACATTTTTAGGGATACTGTTAAAAAAATCTTACACTCGATGGAATTTAACGTAAATTTCAAATTCATTTAAGGGGAAATAACTGCGCTGCTGAACAAAATAGCTGTAACATATCTCTTGGTTGCATCCCTTTGGTATGTATTTTGACGTTCGTCAAGGCAAAATTTTGAAGTTAAAGAGACGCATGGGCGCTTTAGGAATATATTTTTTCCCATTGGAACATTATACTGTAAGTTTAAATGTGGTTTGTTCATTTGGTTTGTCTTTATTGGATATAATATAGGGGCTGGAGGTTGCAATCTTCAGTTACAGTAATCAGTAATGGCTACTCCTAGAAATTCTTTAACGTTAGTTAAGGCTCGCATTTAACTTTTTGAAAAGAGACGTAGCCGCACTGCTTCATAACATCCAATGTATAACATTTTTATTGAGCAAGCAGGTAATTACTAAACACCCTGTATAAAACACAAAACTGTTCTCGAAATTCATTTCCTACTGGTGATGATAAATAAATTACTTTTAAAGAACAAATCAGGTGAAAGACAGAACACATGTTAGTATTTTTTCTATAATCTATATCTATAGCATTTGACATCCCTTTTAATATTTAAAATCGAATGTTTTAACTTGACCAGAAAATTGTATATATAGGCTATAATATTTTACTAATAAAAGCCTAACAGAATTCGTATCTATAAATTGTAAAATAATAATTTTACTACACAAACCAATTTATATA